GCAACTCTCAGTAAGCCTTTGGTCCTTAATTTGAATTCACACTTCTAAACATGCTGAAAAAAGTAGAAAAACAGTTTCCTTCCACAATTAAAAACAAGTAGGGGAATGATAGTTGTTAAATTTATTGTGCCTCCAAATCAACACCCAAAGCTGCCAGTTCCAAACAATGGCAGAAGTCAGTTTCTCTGACAGGTAGGTAAGAGCAAAGTATAATTTATTTCCCGGTCTTTCTGCTTAGATATCTAGGCACCCACATTAAAATACAATTTCAGACTAATGTATGCATAGAAACATTTCCTTCCTTTGGATTCACTATATATTTCTATTTATAGTGACTAACAACCTCTCCCCACATATAGACACACTAATGAGGCTTTAATTACTGCACACTTTACACAGGCTCTTTTTCCTTGGTCTATACCGTTGTATTTTCAAGATTTTCTGCTACAACTTCCATTAAAAAAGAAATGCAAGAATATTTGAATATTACAAAATGCAAGCATATTTGAACAGGGTATAGGGTTAGAATATTATACTTTTATTTAATCTGTAACACTAAAGACTTGATATTTTCAGTGTTCCATTCCAATCTCACAAGCCCTCGTCCATCTCAAAATACCACAAAAATAAAGAGCCTTAAAAATAGAAAAAGTATCAGGAATATGACCTCATACAAATGTGTATTAGCTTTGAGAACAATGATATACGCATATCAAATTCCAATAGCTTTGATAAGTAACAAGACTTTCCAGCGTTCCAGGGTGAGCAACTCTATGGAAGTGAAAGAATACAGGGTATACTAATAATCAGGCAATGTCATGGGTGATTTCCCAAGGGCAAAGAACTGGTACCCTGGTCGCTGGACCAGTCCAATACTGCTAATTGACTGGTCAAGTGATAGTCAAATATCGTCAGTTTCATGAAGCCAAGAATATCACCGAGTTAACAGGCGACTTGCATCTTATTTCATTCTAGCATCACTGCTTAGCGAGAATCAGAGAGGCTTGCCCCCTAGCTCTGCAGTTGCAGGGCAAATATAGCAACATAGCAAAGCTTCTCCTAATGGCCAACTGCCACGTCCAAATAAAGACAGAACAGCCATCAGGGGCCAGGCTCCCGCTCACTACCATTTGATTCACAAAAATTTCCACAATATTGATGATAGCATCTATTCTGTTGGCTCTGATAAAACTTTAAGTTTTAAAAATGCTTCACCTTAATCTGAATAAAGCTGCCCAAATCTTTTACCAGTGGTCAAAAGACCAACTCTAGAATGACAGTCTGGTGGGAAGGGCCTAACTGTAGAATCAAAGAAGGAAGCAGATGGATTGGACCCAAATTTCCAGAGAGAAGACTGTCTGCAGACCAGGAAGAATAACTTACTCAAGGGAAGAAATGGCTATGTGTGACGATGCACTGGAGAGAAGAGAGCCAACTTGTTGCCCCTTATTTTTTCTCTGGGGAGAAGGACAAAGGCATAAGGAGAAAAGAATTTCCTCAGTTCTGTTACTTTATTGCCCTACCATTTTGCTTTGGGGCTTGCATTCTACTCCTCTTGAATTCTAATTAAACTAAGAGAATTTCTAAAATCAGTCCTGAGCAGTTCCTCTAAACCATCTACGTTTTGCCCCCCATTCCCACTAATGCATGTGTGCACTGACAAAACGCAGCAAAAAACCAATACTGATGTGGCTGTGAGCATATCTACAATGAAATCAAGATCTTTTGTGCAATGTTTTGCAAATGTACAGGACTGCACATGTACACTGGTAAAACATCACAATCAAAACAACTTGAGGCAGTCATATATAAGATCAAATCAAAATGGCTGTTTGCAGAGTGTTAGCAAAGCATTCATGTGTGTGGGGGGGAGACATAGGTGATTTGAAGGTTTGGAAAGTTATGGAAAACTGCAACTGTACAAGACTTTGTACACATTTGGAAATAAAAAATGGAACAATGGAGATTTTCTGCTGAACTAGTTCCACTTCCACTTCCAAGGACTCCATGCAGGAAGAAATTCAGAAGTGTCCCTACTAGGGATGGGCACAAACCTAATTATGAACTGAAATTCATCACGAACCACGCCTGGTTTTGTGGTTCACGAGCCTCGGTTCATGTGATCAAGACTCCCACAAACTGTTTTTCATGGAGGTTCATGGAAGCGGTTCGTGGGCCAGATATGCTGGTGTGGATTAATCAATTGTCCAGGCAAGGGGGGGGGATGGACTTCTGTTGCCCTTCTGCAGCCCTGTAAACACCAATAATGGCCCTCCAAAGCTTGATAGGCTGCCAGACACAGAGCTCCCATTCTGCTCTAGGCCTCTAGCTTGCAGGGGGTCTGTATGACACACTTCTGAACCTGTCGCTGCTGTGATTTCTCCAGAGAGCACTTTCTTGGGGGCACCTGCTTGGGGGGGCACTACTTGCCCCCGAAGTCAATCTGCATACAACCTGGAGGGCAGATAAAGGGGCATCCTGGGGAGGTCCGCTGTGAGTTTGATGACTCTAGCTTGCAGAGGGGCCATTTGACACACTCCTTCCCCTTCTGCACATTGGACCCTAGGATCTCCCACCCCAGCCAATCTGCACACAACTTGGAGGGCAGGTAGAGGGGTATCCTAGGGAGGCCCACTGCTATTCTTATGCCTCTCTAGCTTGCAGGGGGGGCATTCAACTCACTCTGAACCTGTGGCTGTGATTTTGCCAGACAGCACTTTCCTACGGGCACCTGATTTGGGGGGCTGTAACTCAACCCCCCTAAATCCAATCCTCATCAAACTTGGAGGGCAGGATGGGCAGAGTCAGCTGGAGAGTCACTGCACGTTTGGTGTCTCTAGCCTACAGGGGGTCCATTCTACTTGGAATTGTGAATAAGTCAAATTCTTTTTAAAAAACGTTTTAAAAATGTGGCTCCCACTTTATGGAATAGCCCGCCTGAGGAAGTCAGGAAAGCTGACACTCTCTTTGCTTTCTGCAAACTATGCAAAACTGAATTATTCAAGAGGGGTTTTCTGTACTGGTAAAAGGGTCACACTGTACAAAATGGTTCACAAACTTACTTGGATAAAAGATCGGAGACTGTAATCTATACCACAATGTATAGCTTATTGTAAGAAGGTTCCTAGTATGTAATTCTTGTACCATTTAATGTGTCATGTTAATACTTCTGCTATGCTTCAGTTCTTTCTGGGGGGTTCCAGACTTATAATATCCAAATGCACTGGTTATTGAATGCCACAATGAATGTTGACTGTACTGACTCACTACGTGTAATCCGCCTTGAGTCCTTGTGAGAAAGGCGGACTGTAAATAACATAAATAACCAAAGAAGTAACTTCGAACAGACAAGAGAGCTGCCTGTGATACAGAGAGATTTGTAAATCAGAGTGGGAAGGGAGGAGGCACAGAAGGGAGACAGGATAAATTCTATACTGTTACAGTTATAGCCCACTTTCCTTCCATCATGGAATGAAAAGTAACATATATGGGTTCCCATCCAGGCACTGACCAAACCAAGGTCAGCTTAGCTTCACATAAAACTGCTGTATTGTTTACCTTCAGACCATATTCTGAGCCCAGGCAAAACTGATGGCAGATTTACAGAATTTCTACAGGCTTTATGAAACCAAAACTTTGTATACATCACACAGAGTACCCGAGAGTAAATGCTGAAAGGGCATGTTAAACAGCATACACAAAATTCCATGAACAGATTAGCAATGTTCACATATCAGTTTATTCTAACCTCCCCCCTCCCAGTCCTGCAAAGCACTTGGCACATTGCCCCCCACCTGGAAGATTCTGAAACAAGAAATAGGGACGGGGTGGGTGGGGGTGGAATGAATAGAGAAAGAAAGAGACAGGCAAGGGAAAATAAAGGAAAGAAAGCAACAGTTGCTTAAAATTGCACTGGAAGGAGACATGCTCTGATGCAAGTGTCTGTTCCTCCAATGGAATAAGTCTTCACTTCTTCTGCTGAGCAGAGTGGTAGGATACAAGCCACTGGTTTAAGCATCATAGTATATCCATCAGATATAAGGTTCTGAAGACTGTAAAAACATTTTATATTCCTTCTCTTTTTCCTCCTCATCTATATTTCTTTTTCAGAAAACCCATACGTCGGTATGCACAAAACCCCGTTATGATGTGGCACAAAATGTGTTTAGCTGCATGTTAGAATAAACCATGCCATATCCCAAACACAGGAAAGCATCTGAAGTTCTAAGTAATCAAGTACCCGAATAGAAAGTGTTAGGTTGCAAGCAGGACTTAGACCTGTATCTCCCCTTCTTTCCCTTCCCTATGCCAGATCTTGAACATATATAACACAAAACCTGGTAACCAATTTTGATTTGGGTATTTTAAGAACCTTGGCATTTCTTTTACATCCCTGTAAGGGGCTGGCAGGAAAAGCTTTGAAACTTGGTGTTAAAAAAATGTCTTATTCTAGGCCCTATTCCCCGCCCCACATCCCCGATGACTGAACACATCCAGAGGTACTTTCCCTCAACCAATGTATAACTGCAACCAGCCTCCACACATTCCCTGGATGGATGAAAAGGAATTTCAATTAGGTTTCTTTTTTGAGAAATTAACTACTGATTTTGGAAGCCTGTTTGATTACTTATAGGAAAGCTTCGGTGAAACCAGGGAAACTAGTTTCCTAATAAATGTGGCCAGCGTTAAATGCTAATTTTCAGAAAGTTTTGATCACAAAGCTCCTATAATATGCATCTGCATCATAAAAACAAATATGTGAAGAACAGGTCCATCAACAGTTACCAGCCATGCTGACTAAAAGGAAGACTCCACACTCAGAAGCATATCAGGGTTAGGAAGCAACATCAGGGAAAGGTCTTTGCCTCTATGCCCTGTTTGTTGGTCCTCTGGTTGGCCATTGGATGCAACAGGAAAATGGGACTAAATGGGCCACTGGACTGCTGTTACATACTTATGATCTGAACAGTAAACTACCCAAAAAACAGAGACAGCCTTACCAATATCATGTGACCAGTGGAGATGTCCATGTTGGACTGGACCGGTTCCTCGCACCAGGAGGAAGTGCTGCTCCGTGCAGAAGGACTTGGGATGGGCCCATCGCTGAACTGAGAAGATATGCTATTGATACGAGAAGTATGCAGAGGCTCAGAGTGATCCGATGATTTTACTGCCATACGCTGACGGCACAGCTCCTAGGAGACAGAGAGAGAAAAGGTGAGAACAGCGTAGGATTAAGACCCAGCATTTAAGGAATACATCTGCTAATATACGCACTGAACACACATGGATTCCAATCCTACACATAAAAGCACTTCTGTTACTCCCCCTAAAGTCTATGCTCACATTTATTTTTTATTAAACTACTTGCATCTTGACTTTTGAAAAAAAAGAAAATAAAAAAACTTCAAACCAGCACTTTAACTTAGCCTTATGGAAGTATTTATGGGAACGAAAATCCTGAAAGACAAATAATTTTTTATACTACTCCTTACATCTTATTGACTTTACTCCACACTTTATGATACTACTGAAACTAAGCACTATTGTAAAGAAAGAAGAAAAAAACAGACTCTAAGCATGAATATGCAGATACAGCAGACAAGGAAACAAACAACTTTTCCAAAGTGGACGATGGCCAATGGGCAGTTACATTTAGTCAGAGCAATGGCCTTACACCTCAATGGCTGGCTGAGCCAATGACACATGGCATGAACAATCAACAGAAAACTGGCTCTTATGCAATAACAGCTGTTAACAGAAGGGGAAAAAAGCAAGACAACCTATACAATATAGTTGCCCCACTTCCTGTTAATGGGTTGAAAAGGTAGCCAACTGTATTCATTTTCCAATTACTGATTTACATATAAACATACAGTAAATATTATCAAAACACATTAATATGTCTAATACAACAAGTCCTGACCAGAATAGGCTGATCTCGTCAAACCTCAGAAGTTAAGAACAGTCAGTCCTGGTTAGTATTTGGATGAGAGACCACCAAGAAAAACCAAGATTGCTACCCAGAGACAGGCAATGACAAACTGCATTTGGACATCTTTTGCCTTGAAAACCCTACGGGTTCGACATAAATCGGCTGTGACTTGACAGCAAAATAATAATATTAAAAATAAAAACCCTGCACTGTTCAAAGCAAAATGCAAGACATGATAGGTTGAACTCGGGCACTCAACCATATGGCTTGGTTGCACATTTGTAACCTATTATGTTAACATGACAAGTACTTAGCTACTTGCCCTAGGCTAACAGGGGGTGCCTGATGCTGAGGCATTGCTAAAACCAGGAAGGTATGGATTGATCCAATCAGTTACTGGGCAGGATACCATGAGACTTGCTCTGAGCTTTCAAAAAATTAGCCTACAACAAATATCTAACTCTGCTCTTTAAAAATAACTTTTCAATTTTTTAATTTTTCAGAATAAAACAAATATAAACCAGGTTTACATAACAATATAAAGAATGTTAACAACAAGAACAGAGAAAAAGCACAGAATACAGTACAGGTCTTTGTAAAATGCTAAACAAATATACTTCTTTGGAAGTAAATTTGTAACCTTTGAATTATTTTAAACATAATAGGGAAAAGAGAACCATTTTTTAAAAAAGATTTAAATAAAGGATTTTCAGCAGTAGAGATCTGATTTGAGATCTTTTCCATGGCCAAATAGCCCCATGTTTGAAACCACTGCTTTGTCAAAGGAATATTATTGGTTTTCCAATATTGTGCTGCACGGGATTTGGCAGCTACTAGTAAAATATAAATTAATTCTTTATTTAACTTTGAAATGGAGTGGTGTTCCCAGAGATTCAACAGAATGCTTTCAGGGCAGAAAGGGACTACCTGCCCTGCGATTTAACTTATGTTGTCCAAGATTATTTGCCCAAAAGGTTTGAATTCTCAAGACAGGACCACCAGCAGTGAAAATAAGAGCCGGTCTGACCACATCCCCTCCAACATCGAAGGTTATTTGAAGGGTCAATAAAATGAAGTTTCAACAGAGTAATATACGATAGGGTGGTTTTATAGAATTGTAGTTTGATGCTGATGGCTTTTGAAGTAAATACATTGGAGGACCAAATCTTGTGCCATTGATTTTCAGTAATTGATATATTACAGTCGGATTGCCATTTGGACTGATCTGCCTTTAAAAAAATCTTTCATTTCAACAACTCAACATTCACTTCATGATACTTTCAATATTATGAATGGTACTGACACTTAGAGGAAGTTAATTCTATGAATTTAAATGGGATTAAAAGAGGAGATTAAAAAATCAATGGAAACTCTACCACAAAATTGCAATCAGCACTTGCGCATTCATTTATTTTAAAATGTTATGAACCCACCATTCACCACATGCCTAAGGTGACTAAAAATAATTCATCCATACACAGTTAAATTATATTAAAATAAAATCGCAACTGTCCAAATATGTTATTCCTCAACAAAAACCACAAACAAAAGCCCACTGAAATGGTTTTTATGCCCCGCAACAACCAGCAAGAAGAGCTCTTGTTGGGCCTTCGAAAGAAGTTTATTCCATAACTGAAGGACAGCAACAGAGAAGGTCCAATAACTGGATGTGTCGAGGCATGTCACTAAGAGGCAATGATCTGCAGAACATAGCTAGCATGCAGATTCACAAGGGAAGAGATGGTCTTTCAGACCCCATGAGTCCTGGAATGACAGTTAACCTTTTCTCTTTCCTGTCAGAAGAGGAACCATGGCTCAGTGGGTAGAGATTTGCATGTACAAGTACCAGGTTCATTCTCCATCACCTCCAATTAAAAGGAGCAGGTGATATGAGAGACCTCTCTGCCTGGGAACCTGGTGATCTGCTGCCAGTCAGAGTAGACAATACTGACCTTGACAGATCAATGTGTGCGACTCACCATAAGGCAGTTTCACATATTCATCATTTGACATTCACTAAAACGCTAAATAATCTTGTGTTAATTTGCTGCTGTCAAGCCAACAAGAGTGTCCTGTGGCACCTTTCATACTAAGAAATTTACTGTGGCAGAAGCTGTTGTGAGCCAGAGTCCACTTCATCAGATGCAACTAAATTGAGTCTAAGGAATCTGGATTGCACACCATCGGTTCTTGGAGGCAATCTGTTAAGTATGTAAAGAAGAAGCTGTCTCAAAAGACAGGACTTCCTAACTCAAAGTGATGTATTAGAGAGAGCCTCACTTCCAACAGCACTGTCTCCAGCTGATTCATTCACAGCCCATGTTGGAGTCCAGTCGTTTCTGTGTGTATTACTGGAAGATATCTACACATGCTGAGAAGAGCCATTTTTGCCGCATCCCAGGTTGCCTGGAGGTGGTTTTCAACAGACATTTGAAGGCATCATTGAGAGTATTATTTGGCCACTTAAGTTACTGACTATTGTAAATGTCTGGAAACAAATACAGATTTTAGAGGAATCCATTTATGAATTGTATAGGGAAAACTGTCATACATTTAAACATTAGACACTTTCATAAAATGGGCAGATTATTGGGTGAAAACCAAATGGAAATTTTAACAAACTTATCACATAAATCACTACAAATAAAGATGTAAGACATCAGTCCAGTATGTGAGATATTTGTAATCAAACTGAGAATATTCACAGCACAATTCTATACAGTTAGTCCAGTCTAAACTCATTGATTTTGGTGGGATTAGAGTGTAATAACTTTGTTCAGAACTGCAAAATCATTTAATTTGTACCAATTCCTTAAGTAATAGGAGCATTTGTGTAGAATTTTATCTGTTCTTACTGCTTATGTCCTGCCTGAAGTAATCATAATCTGTTTTTACACCAAGTTGCTGTGGTGCAGATTATGGTCACCTTGAGTGAGTGGCAAAGCATTAAAACAAGTGGCTTCTCAAAAATTAATAGCTGGCATTTATATAAAGAATAATGGGGTTAGAAACAGCACGCTAGACAAGTTTTAAGAAAGGCAGAGTGCACTCTAAACTGAGTTACACCCTTCTACGGCCAATGAAATCAAAGCACCTTAAAAGGGTGTACTCCTCTGCTTCAGACTGCACTAAAAGTGACACATACCATGTTTTAAACCAATGGGTATCACAATGGTTACTCTTCCCTCCCAGCATTAAAAGCAAAACAGGCTCTCCTGTCTGAAAATAAAATGTCCACAGATTCCTAACAGTTCTGACCTGTCTGTCTTCTCATGCAATGCCACCCGCCTTGACTTCTGCTCCAGCACAACTGGAGAGCTGAATGGTCATAGTTAAAAGAAGCATTTTACAGTACATGGAAGCAGAGAGAGAGAGAGAGAGAGAACTCCTTCCTGTTGCTCCTCGCAGGGCAAGGATGGCTCCAGTGAAAGGCAAGGCACGTGCAAGGTGCCCTCTTTCAGTGACTCCATAAGCCATGCTCAACCCTATGTGTTTCTGCGGTTGCACAGCAGGTGGCAGAACGAAACTCTTGACCTGTCCCTCTAACTTTTAAGTTTAATTTCTCTTTCTGAAACTGCTACATTTGTTGTGCATGCTGGCAGCTCCAAGAAACATGGCTAGGAAAAAGGATGTGTGTTTGCTTGCAATGTGCATGAAACACAACCCATCTGAAGGAAGAGGGGAAGGCACGAGTACAGCCGAAGCAGAAAAGCTGCTGCCTTTCCTACTGAGGATTACGCCCATTCAGTATTTTACTAGTCTGATCATTAAAACTGCCCTGTCTGGTAATCAATAATGGGGTCACAAGGTCCTGGCAGGCTCTACCCATAATATAAAGATTACATCATAGCTCTATCATCAACTACCAGATTCTGCCCTAGATTAATCCCTGACCTGCTAAGGTTCGGCCTTCCTAGGCCCCACTAGTCTGTCCCTGACTGGGCACCATATTTCCGAAATCATATTTGGCAACCTTACTGCCTTCAATGTTTCCCCATTAATTTAAAAACGTTTGAGTCATTACACGCCATGGCTATGCACCAAAACTCAGTTTCTAGAGCAACCAAAACCAAAGTGACACTGCTTATGTTGAAGCTATAGGCTTCAACTGTGGTGACTCTTGTACTACTTAATGTACCTACCTGCTCTATTTCACTTCACATTTTGGAATCCCAATTTAGCAATAATCCATTCCACTACAATTTGGCTTCCTAAAGAGCTAAGGACCCCACCAAAGACCATCCAGAAACAGAATAAACA